ATTAACCATAAACAGAACAAATCTACACCTAGACATATAATAATCAAGATCCCAGAAATTCAACAAAAGAAGAGAATATTAAAAGCTGTTAGAGAAAAGAAATAGAGCACCTCTAAAGTAAAGTCTATCAGAATCATGGCAGATTTCCCAACACCATTCATCAAGTCAAGAAGAGCTCAGAGCGAAGTATTCCAGGTCCTAAAACAAAATAACTTCTACCCCAGATTCATGTACCCTGAAAAGTGATCCTTCAAAATTAATGGAGAAAGAAAATTTTACATGACAAAGAAAACTGAAGAACTTCATGAGCACCAAACCAACCCTACAAGAATACTAAAAGATATCCTAGAAAAGATAAAAATGACAACAACTTCAAAAACAATGATACAAAGGAACCACCATGCAGTGCAAGCAATTAAACAGAAAATGTAGGAAATCAACAACAGGTAAAAAACATGACAAGGATAAATCAATATATACTTTATAAGCATCAATTATAAACATTCTCAATTAGCCAATCAAAAGGAGCAGACTGGCAGAGTGGATCAAGACAAAATCCAACACTATGCTGTATGCAAGAAACACATTTAACTCAAAAATAAATTTGTGGACTAAAAGTCAAAGGATGGAAAACAATTCACCATGCAAAAGGAACCTGGATAAAAGCAGGGGTAGCTATTCTATTTGCAGACAATGTGAACTTTAAACCAATAATGATCAAAAGAATTAAATAAGGTCACTACACACTTGTAAGGGGAAAAATGTAAAAGGAAGAGATAACAATCATAAGTATCTATGCACCAAATATGGGAGCACTCAACTACACAAGACAAATCTTAATAGACGTTAAAACCCAAATAACTAATAACACAATTGTAATGGAAGAACTTAATATCCCATTGACACAGAGATAGACAAAAAATCAGCAAAGAAATAATAGAACTAAACCAAACTTGTAAACAAATGGACTTAGTAGAAGTTTACAGAGTATTCCACACTACATCAGAATACACATACTTCTCAGCTGCACATGGGACATTCTCCAAAATATGCCACATACTGGCTCACAGAACATGCTTAAGTAAATGCAAAGGAGTTGAAATTATCCCATGCGCATTATCTAACCATAGTGCAATGAAATTGAAAATTAATGACAAAAGGAACTGCAAAAACTCCATGAAAACATGGCTTAAATAACAGCCACCTCAACAATGGGTCACAGATGAAACTGAAGAAGAAATTTAACAATATCTACAGTCAAAAGAAAATGCAAATACAATTTACCAGAATCAGTGGGATGCACAGGAAAAATCTTCAAAAGAAAATTTATAGCAGTAAGCTCACACATTAGGAAAACAGAATGAGAACAAATAAATAGCCTAATGCTGCACCTCAAACTTAGAAAAAGAAGAACAAGTCAAGCCCAAAGATAGGAGGATATTATAAGATCAGAGAAAAAATTAATGCAATTGAGATGATGAAAACAATACAAAGAATTAATAAACCAAAGAGTTGATTCTTTGAAAGAATAAATAAAATTGATAAACCCTAGCCAACCTTATCAAAGAAAGGAAAGAAAAAACTCAAATTCAGGCACAAGGAATAAAAAAGGGGAAATCACTACAGATCCCATAGAAGTTGAGATCATCAATACCTACTTTGAAAAACTTTACTCTTAGAGGATGGAAAACACAAAAGAAATGTACAGAGTCCTAGATGTGTATGAATTACCAAAGCTGAATGAAGAAGATATAAAAATTGTGAATAACCTAATATCAATTAATGAAATGGAAAATATGATTAAAAACTTAGGAACAAAGAAAAGGCCAGGTCCTGATGGATTCACAGCTGAATTCTACAAAAAACTCAGACAAGATTCAATGCCAACTCTTCTCAAACTCTTCAAAGAAATAGAAAAGGAAGCAATTCTCCCTAACTCATCTCTGGAGGCAAGCATTACAGTGATACCAAAACCAGAGAAAGACCCAACCAAGAAAGAGAACTACAGGACAATCTCCCTAATGAACATAGATACAAAGATACTCAATAAAATATTCACAGGCAGATTTCAGCAAATCATCAAGAAGATTATACACCATGACCAAGTGGGATTCATCCCAGAGATGCAGGGATGGTTCAACATATGCAGATCAATTAATGTAATACACCATATCAATAGACCCAAAGACAAAAACCACATGATCATCTCAATATATGGTCTTTACCTCAATCTGATCAAAGCCATCTATGAAAAACCAACAGCCAACATCATACTAAATGACAAAAACTGAAAGCTTTCACTTTAAAATCAGGAACAACACAAGGATGTCCACAGTCACCACACCTATTCAATATAGATCTGGAAGTATTAGCCAGAGTAATTAGACAAGACAGAGAAAAAAGGAGTAAGAATAAGAAAGGAAGAAGAGAAATTATTATTATTCACAGATGACATGGTACTTTACATGGAAGACCCCAAAAGCTCCACCAAAAGACCCCTAGAATTAATCAACATATACAGTAGCATAGCTGGATAAAAAGTCAACACTAAAAAATCAATAGCATTCCTATATAAAAACAACAAACACACTGAGAGAGAAATTAAGGAAACCATACCTTTCATAATAGCATCCAAAAAAGTTGAAATACTTAGGGAATCAATCTAATGTAAGAAGTAAATGATCTATACAGTGGAAATTATAGTACTCTGAAAAAAAGAGATCAAAGAGGATTTCAGAAAATGGAAAAACATTCCTTGCTCATGGATAGGAAGAATGAACATTGTGAAAATGGCCATACTCCCAAAATTGTTGTACACATTCATTGCAACCTCAATTAAAATACTGCACAGGAAATACTTTGAAGAATCAACAACTGGGATCTCATTTTACTGAAAGGTTTTTGAACATCAAAAGAAATCAACAACAGCATAAAAAGAAAACCCACGAATTGGGAAAATTTTAGCCAACTGTCCTTCAGCCAAAGGATTTCTATCTCAAACGTATTAAGAGTTTTTAAAAATCAGGCCTCCAAAATTCAAAGACCCAATCCAAAAATGCGCATCATGCAGCATGGGACCCCTGGACTGGGACTCTCCTAAGTTTCATTAAAATCAGAATTTATATTTACTCATGGATCACTTACTGATTTCACATTTACTAAGAATGATCCTTTGGGTTCTATAAATATATACAGCTGTTTGCCAGTTTTTCTCTATTTTATAAACATATGCTTCACTATCAGCTGATCAGCACAACTTGTTTTCATTCTCCCATTGTAGGACAGTTTTGAGGCCATAGTTCAGTCCAGAAAACTGTGTAGCTGAGCATACAGCATTTCTTTAAGGAGGAACTAAGATAAATGTTATTAACAGGTGCATTTTCTGTGTGATGATATTGCTTTTTGTCACTGTGTGGAACTGTATAATTTTTTCAATCAAATGAGGAAAATTTGTATATTATCAATGTTTTGAATTTAAATACACAAGTCAGCCTTTAAAAAGAAGACATATAAATGGCCAATAAGTATACTATAAATGGGCTCAATATCACTAATCCTCAGTAATATGCAAATCAAAGGCACAATGAGACCTTATCTAACCTCACTTAGAACAGTTATTATCAAAAAGTTAAAAAAAAGAGAGAGAGAGTTAAGGATATAGCTTAGCAGCACAGCACCTGCCTGGCAAGTGCGAGGTCCTGAGTTCAATTCCCAGTACACAGAAAAATGGCAGTAGCTGATGACAATGTGTAGAAAAAGGACTTTTCTACAGTGTTTAGTGTAAATATAAATTAGTATAGCCACTCTGGAAAACATATGGAATTTCCCCAATAAAAAAATAGAAACACCATATCATCCAACAATCCCACTGGTGGATGCTTTTCCAAAAGTAATTAAATCATTATATCAATCAGATACTTGTACTCCTGTATTTATTGCAACACTAGTCCCATAGTCAGGATAGAAAATCAAAGTATCTCTCAACAAATGAATGGCTACAGGAAATGTGATACATACACACACTAAAATACTGTTCCAATATTGAAAAGGACAAAATTCTATCGTTAGCAGGAACATGGATAGAACTATAGACCCTAATGTTGAGAGAAATAAGACAATCACAGAAAGACCACATGATTTCACACGAATATATTTTTCAGTAAAGTAAATACTTTACCAAACTGCCAACTCTCTAGTTAGGTCTTCTTCCATAGTGGTTTTCAAAGATTTCTAAATATTTTTTGTCATTTGTGACAATATGAATAGAACTAGAAAACATTATATTAAGTGAAATAAGACAGGCAAAGAAAGACAATTAGGAAATATTCTCACTCATTTTTGGAAGCTAAATAAGTTGATCACATACAAGCAGAATAGATGTCACCAGAGGCTAAAAAGAACAATTTAATGGGTATAATAAGAAGCTGGTAACTGGTATCAAAATACAATTAGATTTTGAGAAGGAGTTCTCACATTATGTAAGCAAGAAAGTAACAATAGTATACAACAATTAAATATGCAGTTCAAAAAACTAAAGCAGAACAGTTTGGAGTTTCCTTACATAAAAAAGATAATATTTGATGAGATAGAAGTATAATACCCTGATTTCATCATTACAAATTGTATACATATGTTGAATTACAGCACTCTGCTCAACAATACATACACATATTTTATGCCGATTTAAAAATTTAGGTAAAAAACAAATAAGAAATCATTTTTTAAAGTTTCACAAAAAGAAAACTGGCTAAAGGTACTAACTTCTCATTAAATTGAAAACCCATAGAAAAAGGAAACACTTAGCCATCTGGTTTCCTGTAATTAGGTTAATTTTTCACGAAATTTAGATACTCCAACGTTTGGAAATATTCCATCAGAAATTGTTTCATTTCTTTCCTTGTTAAGCTTCACTGACCAAGAGGAACCTCAGGCCCCTAGAAATAAATAAAAGCCCTGTGTTTCACCAATCTGAGCACTGACCACTCTACTGACACTGAACCATGAGATTCTATTCTCTTCTTCCCATTCTTTTCTTCTTTGTGACTATACTAGCAAAAGGTAAGATGGCATGACAATAGAGGTAGGTTTCTTAGGCTGACTGAGATGCACAATTATTCACTGGCCATTGTTATTCATATGGTGATGCAAGCCTTAACTATTCAAAAGTCCAACATCTTTGTTAGAACTGATGAGGTCAAAATTGAGAAGGAGACAAGAAGTTTTATCAAATACAAAATGGGACCAAAGTGATCTATGATTAAAAATATGGTCCAGCTAGAGAAATAGAGGTACACAAGCTTTAACATGGAAATTAAGGCTTGATATTTATAGTGCGTATCCATCCACGGGGACCCACTATCCAAAAAGAGAGTAAAGGTGGTGGGTGTTGATTGTGATTTGATTAGTGAGTGAATGTGTCTAGAGTCTCTTGGTAAGAAATATATGTGAAAGTGGAAGTTAGAGGAAAAGAGAACTTAGAAAGGGTCGCATCAATAATAAGTGATCAATGTAAATTTGGGGACAAAGGAAACTGAGGAAAGTATAATAGAATGGAGTTTCAATGGCAAAATTTTAAACATAAGGCAAATAGTGTAGCAAGCATTTTAATAATCTACATTGCATCTTTAGGACCCATATTTCTGATGTTGGAACATTTAAATGTAGAATCAAAGTTGAAGGCTCATAAATGTTTCATCTGTATCCTCATGATAGCTGATAATATTCTTTTCTCTACTGTCAATAGCAGGATGTCCATCTTTATCAAATAATGTCTATGGCCATTGAACATGGGTTTCTTCATTGCTTTACATCTGAGATTCTAAATACAATGAAAGCTATTTACTTATTGCCTTACTATTGAACATCTTGGAATCTACCTGATACACAGCTTTCTTCTGCTTAAAAATTTATTAAATTCTCATTTCATTTCTCATCTTTGGTCAAAAGGCACAGCTGTGGTACAACACACTTTGTTGTAACACAGGATACAGGAAATTGTTTAAGGTTAGAAGACACTTTAAGCGTCAAACCTTTCATTTTACCTAACAGAAACTATGTCATGTTTCTTTACTCTGAGTCACCGTGGTTGCTGCCAACCCACCAGTGTGAGTATCACATAAAAATTGTAACTAACTTCTGTCACACCTTTGCTTCAAACACTTCTACTTAGACATTGAGGAAACTTAAAAAGACTTTCTGCCACGTATCACAACACGGATAAACCTGGAGGACATTAAGTTAAGTAAACAAGCTAGGCACTGAAGAGAAATGCTGCATGATTCCATTTGTATAAGGTAGCTAAAATAGTCAGACTCATTGAGACAGGTACTATAACGAAGTTTGGTAGGTACTGGGAGTGTATCAAGGAGTTTTCTATAAAATTTCAGTTGTACAAGATGAAAATACTCTAGAAATCAAGAGTATATCATGTCTATAGGACTTAAAAATTTAAGAGGGCAGGTCTACTATTAACTGTTTTTATGTATTCATTTGTGTTTATAATATTCACTAGTTACATTCATATTGAAGAATTCATGTATGTATATATTAACATATCTTTTTTAATTTTAAAATTTTTAACCTTTTATTAGTACATGTTTGCAATATAATGATTATACCCATTGTAAGGAATTGATAATTGTATATAATGCATCTCAATTCTTTTTCCCCCTTCCTCCCATCCCCCTTTTATTTTGTCAGAATCAGATTAACTTGAAATACCTCAGGACTACATTCATAATGGGGCTTTGATACATTGGCCTAATACATAATTCTTTTTACTTCCCCTCTCTTTCCCTCCTTCCCTCCTCTAGAGGTAATACACCTGGATAATGTTTTATCCTTTCACCCCACTCCCACTTTTACCCTCCCCCATCTCCAAGAAAAAAAAAAAAAAAAAAAAAGAACAGGCAGCAGGACTGCTATGCTGCTGGGAATTAAGTCTGTGTTTGATCTAGAAATACAGCTGAACAATTGTCTTTCCGAAGCCGGCTAGTGAGACTTCAGTTCTTTCCCTGAAAGCCATTCTCTTTTCCAGAATACTTCAGGCAAAGCAAAGGAAGTATTGCAGGGTATTATCTAACTCCTTCATTATTCCATTATTTTTGTCACATGGAGCCCTAAGTCTATAGACTGTTACCCTCTATAGCAGAGTATACCACCAGACTGCCCTGGGGTTGACATCTCTATCCAGGGTAAAACACAGTCTTCCATGGGTTACAGACATTCAGTGTCAAAAGTCTGCACTGTCTTATCTAACTGTATATAATTTTCTACAGAGTAAAGAAACAATAATAATAGCTTAGTATTTCAAAACAACAACATTTTTGAAAGCAAGGAAAAAAGCCCTTCAAACTGTTACTACAGCCGTGGAAATTAAGCATTCAAGAAGCCAGTCAGCACTAGTATATTGCAGGATATTAAAAACAAAATGAGATCTGAGTAGTTTAATAGGACGGTAAGGAACTGATTTGTGTTGAAAAATGTAAGCAGGAGTGTCACTCTTATGTAATGTTCACTGTCATCCCCAGCGGAAAGGATGAACCTTGGGGTATGCCAGACAGGCAAGAGGGAGAACACGGAAGCTAAAGAAAACTACTGAGTAGATGCACACACTTAGCTCTGGGTGCCTCAGCACCAAATGAATTAGGAAAGCATATGAGCCCACTTAGGGAAAAATGATTTCCAGCTCTAAGGGGAACCTCTCTCGAGCCCTGAAGAGGTACCTTCTGGAGAATCCACACATGAAGGGCATTAAACAGCTCAAGAAAGTTATTTGTTCTGTCGTTCTGAAAAAGGCATTAGTTACCTTGATATATGAAGAGCTGACAGAGTTTCTGTAAAGGAGACAGAGATGAGGACTTGAGCCATCCAATGAGGATGATCTGAGCACAGATGGAAGGTGGAAGGGTGGGCACATTCTTTCAAACAGTGCTTCTCAGTGGAAACATTGTTGGCATTTGGCAAGAGACAATTCATTATACAGGAAATTGAGCAATGCTGCGTCTTGCCCACTAAATACTAAAGACACATACCTTGTCATCATGACAGTAAAGAGTCTTACACATTTCAAAATGTACTACCCCATGTGAGGACCACATATCTAGTCTTTTAGAAACCAGCCTGGCCCTCCAAGGTGGTACCATCCCATACTCATAGCTCCTCTCCCTACAAAGGCCCTACTTTTGTCAAAGTATCTGAACTTTCCATATAGGCAGTATGTCTCATATCTTGAAACCATCCTTTGGGGAGTTTATTGCTTCACACGTATTTTCAATAACTTCAGGGTGAATTAATCTATAACATTTCTTCCTGTACAGGAAAAACTGGCGTTATCCCAGGAGAGAAGCAGTGTATTTTCTTGAAAGGAATGTGCAAACTCATAGCATGCACATCCACAGAAGATACCATCGGTGTATGTAATTATGAAAAAAAATGTTGTAGGAAGTGGTGGATTTTTGATCCCTATCCAACACCAATTCCCAAAGGAAAATCTCCTTAGATGGGAGCAAGCTGTGAGCCCTTCAAACTCTAGAAAACTTGGATACATTTTGTAAGCTTCTGTTGAATAAAAATGTTTTTCTCCCTTAACTGGAAATAAATATTATCCTAATTCCACAGGTACTGATCTCTGGGGCATTTCTTCTTGATGGATATGTAAACCTCTTTAAAACTATAAGAATTTTGTAAATAACAGAAAAACCTCATACCATGAACATATTTACACAAAATATGTTTTTATGAAAAAAGATGAATTTTTAATATGTTCAAGATTAAGAGTGTGAAATAAATAGTGTTTGTCTAAAATGGACTATTCACCCTCTTTTTTATCCAGTTAGTGGAAAACATCATTTGGGGGCTGGGTATGTAGCTCAGTGGTAGAGTACTTACCTAACGTATGCAAGGTCTTAGATTCTATCCCCAGCACCATATGTACATTTTTCATTTTAATGGCATTCATTTATGCAAGAAGAGAATTTATATGAGAGACATATGAAAATATGGCAGAACATTTCATGATTCTACTTTACATGATTCAATAGACAGGAATTATTTTTGCAACCATAAACACTTTAGGCAAATTAACAAGAGTTGCACAAATGTAACAATTATGAGCAGATGAATTATAGTCATAAATAAACAGGTCAAAAGTGAAGTACATAAAAGCATATCACTATGGTTAGAAATTGTGTACACTCAGTTTTATAATTGTTAGCATTTGGAATACCATGGCTGACAACCTAAATCAAAAACCACACTGAACCCTCACCACAAATACAAGTGATTCAAAGAGCCAACATAAGTTTCATCTTTCATAGATGTGGATGTCCAAAAAGGATATCTCTTCATTCACTGAAGTTTCAAACCTGTTACATACATCCATAATATTGAAGTAAAACTTCAATGTAATATTGTACTTTTCATGAAGTTAAGTTTGCAAAAATTCATAAAGTGAATTAGGACTCCTAAATATCTTTATACAATCTACAGCTCCATTATTAGAAATGGAAGGGCCATGGATTTAGCTCAGTGGCACAGTGCCTGGCTGGCAAACATGAGGTCCTGAGTTCTATCCCTGGTACCCAGAAAAAAAATAATGTAAAGATAAAGTATATAACATAGACAATTGTAAAAACTAATGCTGACAGCTTTAATGGAGAAACTTTCTTAAAAACTACAAATATAGGAACAGAGCTGAACCTTGGACAGCTTCAGGAACACCAGCGACCTGCTGCTGCCCCTTGCCCACCAGTGTGGGAGAGAGGCAGAGCCCCAGAGAGCTTCAGGGGCCTGGGGGGCCACTCTCTTCCCCTTCCATTGGAGCTGAGCTGAACCTCAGACAGCTTCAGGAACCCTGGTGAGCCACCGCTGCAACTGTTCCACCAATGTGGGAACCAGGCAGAGCCCCATACAGTTTCAGGGGCCTTGGGGGCCACTCCCTGCCACCCCTGAACCCTTGGGGGAGCCAAGCTGAGCCTCAGAGTAACCTTCAGCAGGCTGATGACTGTGTCTTAACCTGTCCCCCACTGGTGTGGCAACTGGGCTGGGTCTCAGGCAGGGTCTCAAGCACTGATGGCCATGATCTGCCCCCCTAGGACCCTTGCAAAAGCCAGGCTGAAACCTGAACAGCTTCAGGAACATGCTTGAGCCACCCCTGCCCCTCCCCCACCAGTGGGCAAGTCAGGTGGAGACCCAGACAGCTTCAGCAGCATGGGTGGCCACTCCCTACTCCATCCACACACTCGAGGGAGGCATGCTGAACTTCTGGCAGTTTCAGATGCCTCAGTGACTGTGTGCTCACACCCATACACCAGCTTGGGAACTGGACTGAGTCAAAGGCAGTGTCTGGAGCCTCAGTGACCATGAACTGCCCACTCCTACACCCTTCTGGAAACAGGTCTGAAACCTGGACAGCTTTGGGAACCCCTGTGTGAGAGCCAAGCTGAGCTCCAGATGCTACAGGAGCATTTGGGGTCACACCCCACCCACACACACCATCAAGGGAGCCACCTTGAGCAGGGGGGACCTTCGGGTCCTTATTCCACCACTCCCACATCACCTTGGAAGTGAGGCTGACTGCCAGGGACACTGTGAATCTCTGGAAATGACAAAACAAAGGAGAAAAATGCCATCTCACACCTCTACCCCACCAAGATCAAATCCAGGAAACATTGACACAGAACAGCTTGAAAGTCATACACCTAAAATTTCTGAAATGATAAAAACTAAAGTAAAGAAACAAATCCATCAGGCCATAGAACACATCAGATCAGAAATAATCTCTCAGGTAAAAAAAAAGAAATGACAACAATAATGAAAGAACTGTTTAGCACATCTAAAGAAGACATAGAAAAGAAACTAGAGAAGCACACAAAACTGATACAAGCCTTGAATCAACAATGTAGAAAAGAACTAAAATGCATGAAACAGATTCAAACAGATATCCAGGAAATTTAAACTGCCATTGAAAGGTGCAAAACAGCTTGAATGAAGCTGAAGATAGACTTTCAGACCTTGAAGCCAGCACTGCCACTAAGGACTCTTAAAGGAAGGATCTCTTAAAAATAACAAGAAACCAGGAAATAATAAACCAACAGCTGAAAGATGAAGCAAAGAAAAACAATGTAAGATTAATAGGTGTCAATGAAACAGCAGGTCTCAACACAAATCACACAAAAATACTATTTGAAGAAGTAATACCAGAAAATTTCCCAAGCATGGAAAAAGAATCAGAGAGACAGTAATTGAGGCATCTAGAAATCCAATTAGCCATAACCAAAATAAATCTACACCCAGACATACAACAGAAATTCAACAAAAGAACACAATATCAAAAGCTGTTAGAGAAAAGAAACAGATCACCTATAAAGGAAAGCCCATCAGAATCATGGCAGATTTCTCAAAATAAACCATCAAGTCAACAACAGCTTAGAGTAAAATATTTCAGGTCCTAAAAGAAAATAACTTCCAAACCAGACTGATGTACCCTGCAAAACTATCTTTCAAAATTAATGGAGAAATAAAATATTTCCAAAATAAAGAACAACTGAAGAACTTCATCAGAGCCAAACAAACCCTACAAAGAGTACTAAAAGATATTAGAGAAAGAGATAATAAAAAAGGCCACAACTTCAAGAACAACAGGAAGGAACGATGAAGCAGAGCAAGCAATTAAACAGAGTGAAACAAGAGGAACCAACAGTAGCAAAAAACCATGACAAAGATAAGCAAGTATATATCAGTTATAACCATCAATGTAAATGGCCTCAATTCACCCATCAAAAGAAATAGACTGGCAGAGTGGGTCAAGAAACAAAATCCAACAATATGCTGTATAAAAGAAACACATTTAAATCAAAAGGAAATTCATAGGCAGAAAATCAAAGGATGGAAAACAATACTCCATGCGACAGGAACTCAGAAAAAAGCAGGTGTACCCATTCTGTTGGCAAACAATGGGAACTTCAAACCAAGAACAATTAAAACAGATAAAGAAGGTCACTACATACTTGTGAGGGGACAACTTCAAAAGGAAGAGATAACAATCATAAATATCTGTGCATCAAACACAGGAGCACTGAACTATATAAGACAAATATTAACAGACATGAAAAATGAAACATGCAGCAACACAATCATAACGGGGGACTTTAACATCCCATTGTCACAAAGCAATAGGTCAACTAGACAAAAAATCAGCAAAGAAATAACAGAATTAAACCAAACATGTGAACAAATGGACTAAGTAGACCTTTACAGTGTTCCACCCAAAAGCATCAGAATACACATTTTTCTCACCTGCACACAGGAAGTTCTCTAAAATAGGCCATATACTAGCCCATACAACATGCTTAAGTAAATGCAAAGGAATTCAAATTATCTCATACATACTACTGGACCATACTGCAATGAAATTAGAAATTAATGACAAAAGAAATCACAAAAACTCCTTAAACACATGGAAATTAAATAACAACCTCCTGAACAACCAATGGGTCACCGATGAAATCAAAGAAGAAATTAAACACTATTTACAATCAAGCAAATATGAAGATACAACTTACAGGAACCTGTGTGATGCAATGAAAGCAGTCCTCAGACAGAAATTTATAGTGGTGAATTCCCACCTCAGAGAACAGAATGAAAACAAACAACAAAAAAAAAACCAATCTTATCCTCACCTGAAGCTTCTAGAAGAAGAGAAAGTCAAGTTCAAAGCCCAAAGAAGACAGGAAATTATAAATCTCAGGGCAGAAATTAATGCAATGGACACTAAAAAAAAATACAATGAATTAATAAATTGAAGAGTTGGTTCTATGAAAGAAAAAACAAAATAAATAAACCGCTAGCAAACCTTATTAAAAAAAGGAAAGTAGAAACTGAAATACATGCAATAAGGAATGAAAGAAGAAATTACTACAGATCCTGTAGGAATTCAGAAGATCATCAATACCTACTTCAAAAATCTTTATTCTCACAGAATGGGAAATGTAGAGGAAATGAACAGATTTCTAGATATATATTAATTACCAAAACTGAATGAAGAAAATATAAAACTCCTGAATAACTCAATATCCGCAAGCAAAATTGAAAGTGCAATAAAAAAATAAAAAAAAAACTTGCCAAAAGAAGAAAAGCCCAGGTCCTGATGGATTCACAGCTGAATCCTACAAGAAACTTAGAGAATATTTAATGCAAATTTTTCTAGAACTCTTTAATGAAATTAAAAGAGAAGGAATTCTCCCCAACTCATTCCTGGAGGCAAGCATTGTACTGATACCAAGACCAGAGAAATACCCAACAAAAAGACAATTAAAGGTCAATCTCCCTGATGAATAGAGATGCAAAAATTCCCAATAAAATACTAGCAAACACAATGCAACAAAAAATCAAGAAGATTATATATCATGACCAAGTGGGATTCATCCCAGGAATGCAGAGATGGTTCAATATATGCAAATCAATTAATGTAGTACACCATGTCAATAGAGCCAAAGACCA